AAGCTTTTCAGGTGTTTTTCTGTTCAAACAAATCTAGTCAAATGGGGGGACATTAAATGTTTCTTTATCTCATTCGACAGCAGAAACTGTGACTCATTAGATACCCTTGTGCTTCCAGGACTAGCACTAGGTTTTTTTTTGTGTTTTTTTTAAAGGTATTTGAAGAAATGTATGGATAAATTCTTCCACCGTCTCATCAAAATATCGATTCCTGTGTGTAAAATCCAGTTTGTTTTGTTTTCGATATGCATAATTTAACACAACAAACCCCAAACAAAACACTAAACACCAGCATAAATAAAAAGTCAGAGTTGCACAAAGTTTGAATATGTCAAGTTTAAATCAGTTCTTAGAGCGATGGGCCTGTCAGCAGAACTGTGAACTGTTCACAAACACCACTTTGTGAACAGTGTTAATAAATAATGGTGTGTTGATAATGGTTACCTGCTCTGGGATCCTCCACAAAAGATCTGAATGAAGATGATAAGGATTTGTATAGAGGCACTGAAAGAGTCATTTAAGAACTGGCTCTGACAAGATCCCAGGTTAAGTACTGAAACTATAGGATGTGATTGTCAGGGGGACTATAGTGGACCACAAATTCTGGAAAACCTTACCCAAAAGCTCTTGGACGTTGTTTTAAAATATGCCAATATTCACTCAAGAAAATGGGAAGGTGCACTGCTTCCATCACAACTGAGCTAAACAAAAGATTAAAAAGTTATTAAATCTTGATTTAACTCAATGCTTTTGAAGACAAGCTTCTGTGTATATCATTGGTTTTTAGCAGATAGTGTGTTCATTGGGCGAGGCTTTCAAATGATTTACCTTGTTGCTGTTCATCAGTTTGCCGCCATTATGAACCTGCAAGCTAATTTAGAAGCTGATAACTTTATCTTCTTTTCTTGTCAGCTCAGGAATAAAGACCTAAATCCAAACAGCCTGTTGCTTTCTGTGTTTATTATCCCAGCGGTTTTATGGCTCAAACATCAGCTGTGGTCATTATCTGCTCAGTGTGATGAGTGTTTCTCTGTCAGTGTAAACACTTTTTTCGTTCTACTAGGCCATTCACACTACTGTTGAAATAAACAGGGGAGAACAGAGTGTGCCAGCAGCTGATAAATACAACAGAAACTTATAGCCTTTATTCTTATCTAAAAAGCAACAACTTAAATCTTAACCGTCTACTGACCTTCCCCCTTGGTCTGCATGTGCACACACACACACACACACACACACACACACACACACACACACCTCTCATCTGATAGCCATCAGCTCAAAAACATACTCCATTGTCTCAGCTACGCGCTAATTACTTCAGGTCTCGACCTCGGGTTCAACAGAAGAGCCAAGGGAGGGCGGGGCAGAGCGAAGGGACTGTATGCAAGTATGTGTATGCTGAAAGATGACATGATGGGGTGGAGGTGTGGAGAAGCCTTTGCTGCTGCCAATCAATAATCAATCAATCAACCCAATCTGGGTTTGTCTAAACATCACAATGTAATGCATTAACTGTACTCTCACTAAAACTAGGAAAATCGAACACAAGTAGTAGAAGTAGTTCTAATCTAGAACAGACTTCCAGAAAACTGCAAAAATGCAAAAAAAAAAAAAAAAATTCTTGTTGCTTAAGCTTTATAACAAACTGTTACTTTGACTGGAAATCATAACATGTTCACTCTTTCACTCCGAAAGATCATGGGAAGATATTTTAAGGTTGTTGTTGTTTAAAGATGGCAGCAGTCTGCTTTGACCCTGCCTCAGTTGGATTAACCATTAGCTTCACCCCCTATAACCAGCTAACCTGTTTAAACTAAATGAAGAAACCAAGACAGGTATCTGCTACAAGTAACTCATTAACTTTGTGTAACCTTTTAAATTAACTTCACTTTAATGGTGTTAAATGTTCCTTTTTAAATAGCCTGCAGAGGCAGAGTGAAATAATGACTGTATTACTTCACGTCTCCAGTCTACCTCATTTGAAACTCAGGTATTGAGAGCATTTTAAAATCTGCTGAGTTCTCAAGTTCAATTTCATTCAGTCTACCACATTCTTTTAGATTTTCTAAACTGTACAAAACACTAGGAGAAAAAGCACAAATCAAGTCCCCTTCAGCCTCTCCAGCTTTACAAAATGCCCCGAGCATTTTCTCATCCAAGTCCACTTACGACACTGAAAAGCCAAAACAACACTCTTCAATGCAAGTTTCATGCTGTAAAAAAAAAAAGAAAAAAAAAAAAAAAAAGAGAGGCCTTCTCCCAGGTTGCCACAACCAAACAAAACCTGTCCCGTATGTGCATTCATTGCAATGCAAAGCAGACTTCCAATGCTTCAGCAACACTTAAGGTCCTACTTTCAATTACAATGTCAGGAACACTTAGAGCTGATGGGCCTATTGGAGAGGGGGAGTGGAGCCTGTGGTGAGCTTCCAGACTGCCCAAAAGGACAATTAGGGACTAAAATTTTAAAATAAAATCCTGCAAATTTTGGCATAGCTATAACGCATGCTAACCTAAAAATAGTTAAACCGCGCAGTTTGAATAACAGCTCTGGATACGTCATAATTTCCCTTTTGGAGAAGACAGAGAGGACAGTACGGCTGAATTTTACTTTACTCCTCGCCCCTCATTTTTAGTCCAAACTCTACATTTCCGAGGGGGTTTGGTGTCCTAATCGTTTACTATTGGTAGGGGGAGGAGTAAGGAAAGCACTTTGTTGTCCTTTAAAATGTAGCTTTTTAGGGGCCACTGGGAAACAAAGGGAAAGAGGCATTGCTTACACCCAAAGATGCAACTACTGACTCAATTACCATATTAAGTTGAACAAAAATCGCTGTGCTCAGATATTTTTTTTACTGTTTAAAATAAATGACCACAAGAAAAAACAATGTTTTTGTCATCTGATGTAATGCCCTGCTGAGAAATAAATGCAGTACGATTTCAGATACCAAAAATACCTGCAGTTAGGACTTACCAACAGTGCTGCTATGGATATATGATTCTGCGTCTTTCCTCTGTCTCTTTTATCTGCTCACATGCACATTGCTGCATGCTTACATAGCCATAACATATAGACTGGTGGCAGTCACACATAAACAAAAACTGATTAAACAGGCCAACACCCCTTAGAGAGGGCGCAGAATGAGGAGAAGATGAAAGCAGACCCCGTACTGCAATCTTTGCTTCAGTTGCATCCCTGCAGTGTGACGAGTGGAGCCCAGCGCTGGACGGTGAATGTCACTCTATCTGTTGCATTTGTATGATTTGTAACATTAGATAATTAAAGCCTGTTTTATACTTAACCAAATCTCATTATTTCTCACTGAGGGGTTTTGAACGAGTCCTGGAACTGCTAAACGGACCTGGGTGTTGCACCGAAGGGAAAATGGCTGCACTACATTTCAAGTACGTTTGAAGAGTAGTACTGCTAAGCTCAGCGATTTTAAAACAAATACATATGGAGCAGCTTATTGAAAATGAAGTGATATTGTTTCAGTTCGTTAAAGTCCAATGTCAGTGTTGTATGTAATTACCTGCTCAGTGTATAAAGCATTTTAATGAAAAGTTAAGTGGAGGTATGGTATGGTTAATAGAAAAGGTGTACAAACAACTCAGAGTGAGTACATTAGGAGCCAAAACACACAGATGTATCCAAGACAAGAGTTGCAAATGTTGGATTCTTCATGCTAAGGTATTCCTGAACCACTGACATCAAATGCTTCATACCAGGGTAAGGAGAAGGTTTATACTGTTGTAATATATTGTCAGATGAAAATACATTTTCCATTTCAGTTAAAAATCAATGTCCTCGAGTGCTATGGCGGGATGTTGAGAATACAGAGCACCTCATGATTCCTGATTTAATTTTCCAGCAGAACTTGGCACCTGTTCACTCTGATAATACAACCAACTAACTGCACATGATATCACAGTGTTTGATTGGCCAGCTAACTGGCCTCATATAAACCCTGTAGAGAAGCGGTGGACTATTATCAAGAGGAAGTCACAATGATTTTAATGACTAGAAATAAGCCGGTGAGATGAATAACTCTATATTAAATCTGCCAATTAAAAGTGTTTAGATTTTTTAGTGAATTAGGGAAACTTTTCAATGATATTTTATATTGTTGAGATGGACTTGCATGTTTCCAGTGACAACTGATGATGCATCCACTCCCTTTCAGTGAAATATTTGAACCACTACCTGAAATAAGAACCATGTGGCGGGGCTATGGGGTTTGAGTATCCCTAAGGCAGCGGTGCCCAAAGTCGGTTCTCGAGGGCCGGCATCCTGCACGTTTTAGTTCTCTCCCTGGTGGTAGTAACAACCTTTTCAGCATGTCAATGTTCTTCTTAGGCCTTCTAATGAGCCATCATTGGATCCAGGTGCAGAAAAAGAACTAAAACATGCAGGATGCCGGCCCTCGAGGACCGACTTTGGGCACCGCTGCCCTAAGGAGTGGGATCCTGACTGAGTGGAATGAAAAAATAAGATCAGGCTCATTCAAACTAGACAAAATAGGGAAAGAAAGGAGAGACTGGGGATATAGGAGGAGGCTGGCTGCAGATCCCGCCTTTCTGGCCGTGGGTTGGTCAGGAAAACCCAAATCCAGCGCTGTGATTGGACTGGTGTCCTCCGGACGGGTGAAACAGTCTCCCCTCATAGACACAAGAAAGTTTAGCACTGGACGCTTAAAGGCAGTGGGCGCAAACCAGGACCTGCAGCGCGTTCCTCTCTGACAAGAAGTTATCGCTGTAACAAATCGGGAATATACCAGACATGTAGAGGTATCTTCAAGCTGCGGGAAACCAACCAAATCCTCCAGGCGTAGCTCTGGCAATGCTTCGCCAACTATATTTTCTGGATATCTGACTGCGGAGAACGGCTCAGAGTGGGATGTTGTAACCTCAAAAGACGCACGGGACGACACGCGCCGCGCTCCTGCCGGACTAACCTTAAACCCATGTGCCTCGGTGCCCAAGGCGACCCGCCTTACCGGAGTCTGTGGAGATAATATTATTCACTCGGTCGGTTCTGGCATTGGTGGTGGTGGTGGTGGGGGTTTTTGTCAACATGCCCGGGACAATGAGGATGATGATGGTGTCGCTCGCGCTCCTCTTGGTCTGTCCGCTCTTCTTGGCCATTGATGCGTTCGGCGACGACGAGGAGGAGATGACCTGTGACCCAATCCGGATCAGCATGTGCCAGGGTCTGGGCTACAACGTCACCAAGATGCCCAACCTGGTGGGCAACGTGCTGCAGTCCGACGCCGAGCTGCAGCTGACCACGTTCACGCCGCTCATACAGTACGGCTGCTCCAGTCAGCTCAAGGTACGGGAACCAAGCGCGATAACGTATTAGTTAGAGTGAGATAAAGCGGAGCACGGAATGGGAACCATGCTCAAACTTTGGAGCAGCCGCCCTGGCTCTTAAAAAAGCCTGGCTCCTGCTGAAAGTGTGCTATATTTGTGTGTACGCAAAGGGAAACAGTGTGGTCCCAGAGCACATGACAGGGAGCCAGACCACTTGCAATAACTGCCTGTTCTGTGAGCGGCTCAGACTGATGGTGCCAGAAATAATCAGCATGTTATAGGTTGATTCCCAGGCAGTTAAACTAAGTGGAAGGGTCTCTTCCGCTGATTCTCTCCCTCCAATTTCTTTTTTCTTCGCCGAACTGTCATGTTAACTTCGCTGAAAATGCCCCCACTGTCTGTTGACATTCTGAGTTCATCCATGGCCCTCACAGCAGCAGCTGGATCTTCACTTATATACTGTACAGTCTTCTTGTTAACAATGGTGCCCTTAGTGTCTTAAGACAAATGCTGCTTGTTTGACTCATGCACCATGCAGGCAAAAAATAGTCTGGGCCCATAATTCATCTCTCAAATTGGGGAAAAATTAAGGATTGATTTATAGGTTTGTTTGGTTTTTTTTGTTTTTTGTTTTTTTTTTGGATGCACAATCAGCTTGATTATAGTTTTTTTTGTTTGTTTGTTTTTTAAATTAAAACCAGATCAACGTGTAAAACCAACAACGTCATTTCATTTTCACTGTATAAACACATAAACAAACCTTTGCTGTGCTTTTAAAATAAACGTTTACTCTTTGAAAAGTCTGACAAGGGAATATCTTATCTTCTAGTTCAGTTGGGTTCAAACCCCTCAATCAATGAATTCCAGCATGTTTTTCTCCTTTATGTGTCACAGTTCGTAGAAAAGAAAAATGCCTAAAATCAGAAGCAGAACATCAATCCGCAAAAACCCCAGAATTTGGTATTGGTCATGGAAAGGGTGATCAGTTTATTTCTAATGATAAGCTTGAGCAAAAATGCCACGTTTAGCACAGAAATGTATACCGTCATTTGTTCGCTGAAATTGCGAAGTGTAGTTTTAAACCAGGATTTAAAAAGTGATAGTATTGTCCATTTAGTTTGTTTCTTTTTGCTAATTATTTTTTTTTTCTCATAAGAGTCATTTTTTTTTCAGACATCAGACCAGTATTGCACAGAAACAGGTGTGGGAGGGGCAGTGTTTTGTTACTCTGAGCTCCATGGCTTTGGAGAAAACTGAAGTCATTCTGGCCCTTCCTTTGGAATAGTGTTAAAGTGGACAATAACCCAAAGGAACAGTTATGAAGGAAAATGTCATACCTTGAAATCAGTCAGGCTCACATGCCTGATGTATAGCAGGGTGAAAACTTTCCCTGCCTCTCTCCTGCCAAAGCGAGCACATCTAGACTTAAATATGAACCCCTTTCTTAGGTTTTGCAGTAAATTATTTGTATCTGCTGCCACGTGAGATTACCTGCAAAACGCATCTGGAACTGCTGCAATAATGCAGAGCCTCAAGATGCATGAACGAGAAGCAACTGCACCATAAAATCAACCTGTCCTCCTCCAGTTGTAAATTGTCCTGTAAGTTTAGCTGACACACACACACCCACGCACTCCCTCTCTCTTTCACACACACACACACACACACACACACAGAGAGAGATGAACACAGATACCACCACCACCCAAAGACTGAGGAAGAGGGGAGGGTGGAGAGAAACCGTATCGCCTAGCATTTGCTCTAATGGGAGGCTTCCTGACTGGTAACCCGAGCAGCTTTTAGCATTAACGTGGCAGCACTCGGGTTACAGACGGTCTGTGGAAAACACCCAGAAAGTGTTACATTACTGTCACCGGTTGAGCATGCATAGCCCACTGTGGGAAGGATCTCCAATTGTCTGTAAGCTTATACTTACAGACAGTTGTGCACATTTTTTGCAATTGAATTGAGTCTGCATACAGAGTTGTTCACAATTATGACATTTTATTGAAAACGTATAAGAGGAATTCAAATTCTGCTCAGCTTATAAATTAGAGGCTATTACAGATCACAAAACGCTACCAAATTAGGTATTTGAGTCATACTAGGATTTTTACAACGCATCTCGTTTTACATATTTTTACATCTGAAACACCTTTTTTATTTATTTTTTGTTGGGTTTTTTTCTGTTTGTTTTGTGTTTTTTGGAGGGGGTACTTACAAATAACTTTTTCCTGGCGTCAAGACTTAAAGATGTTTTTGGGAGATTTGTAATCTAAAAAAATTCAGCAGCAAAATTTCATTTCGCTTCATCAATTTGCCAAATGCCTGGAGGTGCTTGTTTATTACCTTCAGTTCAGGGGAGCTGAGTGAAGCATACTCTGGTATTCTATAAATTTTCATTTCATGACCATAGTCCAATTTTACACTCTGGCTGGCAGGAGCGTTCACAGTAGAGGCGTGAAATCGCTTAAAATGTCTGACTTCTGAGACACCAGAGTTACTCTTCTTTTGCATCACTATCTCCACAGTCGAATCTGGCAGCTTTGTGTCTTCATAAGCATATCTTAAGGATCTATTTTAAAGTTGGTGTTATTGGGTGATCCTCTTTTTTTTTTTTTTTTTTTTTTTTTTTCTTAAGAAGCTGCAATAGATTTACCTCAAACCACATTGCTGGGGTAGGTAATGGGGTTTCTTTAAAAATAGAGATTCTACCACTATAAAGGGTGTTTGAATGGTTCAGAAAATTGAGGTGAAAGCAAGAAGCAAATGCAATTTGATGAAAGAGCCATGTGGGAGAGCAGGGTGTTGCCAGCCTCTGCTTCTTATTCAGGCAATATAAACAGACTGAGCCCTGCAACATATTTTACTTGCTACCTCATGGATTAATTTAACTAACCAAACCAAGCATTAAAGCTGTTTTTAGTGTATCTTTCTGATTTAGTCATGTTAAATCAGTGTCATCTTTCTAGTAGAACCTTTTCTAACATATTTTTAAACCTCTGCTACTTTATTTTGCTGTGATTTGCCAAACAAGGCAATAATGTGTTTTTTTGGGGGGGTTTTTTTAGAACCTTGCAACCCATGCAGATAAGATGTTAAACAAATAACTTTTTCTTTTTCTTTACTTCTAGTTCTTCCTTTGCTCAGTTTATGTGCCCATGTGCACAGACAAGGTTCCCATCCCCATCGGGCCGTGTAAGAGCATGTGTTTGTCCGTCAAGAGAAAATGCCTCCCTGTTCTTCATGAGTTTGGCTTCATTTGGCCTGAGGTGAGTCGCATTGTCATGAGGAAAGCATGCATATTTTTTAATTAGAAAAAAAGAAACAGGGGGGGGGGGAACAAGTTTTCGGGGTTTCATAGATGCTGTTACAGCTGACTGCTTTTTCTCTTACAACAATTTCCCATGATGAGCTTAACACCAGCCGGTTGAAACAAGCAGAAGTATCGCCATCATTTTTTCCAACTGAGATCCCCAGTTTAAATATCGTTCTTCTAGGCTTCACATGCAGATGTTTTCCATAAAAACAAATTTTTCAAAAATGTCCTCAATGTGGAGATTTCTTGGGGGGGGAAAAAACATGCTACTTAGATACATTTTGTATACTTTACTGCAAAGTTAATTGGGGGAAAAAAATGTAATGGATGACATATTCCTCACTCGACACAGCATAAAAATCTGAAGGGTGAATGTTGAAAAGTCTTCACATAAAAATGTCTCTTGTTGCCTAAATGTTGTAAGAAAAGTTTTTATGGCTGACAAAGTAGGTTGAAGTTGGACAACACCATTCTGACAACAAAGTTAAACTTTCTGCATATTTTTTTCAGGGTCAAACTAAAAATAGTCGTAAAGAACTTGATGCCCAGTGATTGGAGGGTTAGAGACAAATTTTGAGAAATTATGATAGAATATAGATTAGGTTGAGGATTGATAACACCTAGTGAACAATGTCAAAGACAAAAGAAGCTAGTAATGTGGTAAAATCATGAGTTCTTAGTGCTCTTCTTTTTTTATACTGATGTGTTGTTTAATGTTAAAAATTAATGACACTGGCAATTACTTTTTTTTTTCAACCTAATATTGACTTTCTAATCTGATAACCTTGTAAAAGTGAGTGGGATACAGTGTTTTTTTTTTTTTTTTTTTTTTTTTTTTTTTTTTTATTTTTTTGCGGGGGTTTAAACGCCCCCCCTTCCCACCTTAAAAACCCCCCCCAC